TTTCATGTTGTTATTCTCTCTCCATCACTGGATCTAGAGCATCAAGCACAGGTGAAAGCGTTGTACCACTAAGCTATAACTTTAACTTGGATACCGCCTGCTTTTTGTGAATTTTGACTCCAGGAGCTCAGGCAGGTCTCACAGTAAATGCCATAGAAAAATTCCATTGTTCCAGGTGCAGGAGCAGAAAACCAACATTTAAAAATACAACAGTAGGGAGGAGGGGTGCTAGAGAGGTAGCTTAGTGGTTTATGAGCCCATGCTGCTCTTGTAGAAGATTCCAGTTCAGTTCCCAGAACCTACACAGGGTGGCTCACAACTGCCAGTAACTCCAGCTCCACAGGGATCTGACAACTCAGGCTCCCATGAGCACCTACACTCACACACATATATCCGCACACAGCACACATACACACATATAACTAAAAATAATAAAATAGCCAGGTGTGGTGGCGCACGCCTTTAATCCCAGCCCACAGGAGGCAGAGGCAGGTGGATCCTGATCTCTGTGAATTCAAACAATTTCCAAAATAGCCAGGGCTGTTATACAGAGAAACCCTATCTCAAAAACCAAATATGATGATGATGATGATGATGACGGTGATGATGATGAATATTAAATGCAACAGTGTGAGCTAGAGAGAAGGCTCAGAATTAAGTTGGACTCTTACTTAAAATTACATACAAAAGTTAACTTCAAATGGCTCCAAGACCTAAATGTAAGACCCCCAAAACAATAAAAACCTTTAGAAAAAATACAGGGAACTACTTTTAGAAACATTGGTCATGCTGAATAGTTTTGCAGGTAAATTTAATCAGGCAATAAAGGAGCAGCACCAACCTTAGGAAGCCCTTTTGAAAACACAAGAGACTCATCCCAAGCTGGTTTCACATAACCAGCAAAACCCTTAAGCCAAACCTTGACACCTGCTTTACAAGAAAAGGAATTTTAAGCAAAACCCTAGCAAATAAAACCCAATAATATATGTGTATGTATATGATAAACACACAAGTATTTATGCATATACAATACCATGACTGACTGGGCTTATTTAGGAATATAGAGTTGGCTTAAGAACTGGAAACCAGCTAATATTAGTTGCATTCACTAGCTTTTTGTTGCTGTGACAAAATATCCAAGGTAGACAACTTAATGAGGAATGGCTTATTTGGGCTCTTGCTTTCAGAGGTTTTGGTCCATGGTCATCTGGCTCCCTGGCTTACTTGGGTTTTTCACTAGGCCAAAGCATCAAAGGAAAGCTGCTTACCTCACAGTAGACAGGAAACAGAGAGAAAAGCAACAAGATACACCCCTTAAAGGTGCACCCATAATGACCTTCCTTCAAATTGGCCCTGCCTTCAGAGAGCCTAATGTGCCAGAAACTCATCAATGGGCTAACCTGCAGGTGAAGTTAATATTTTTTTTGAAGTTAATATTTTTATAATCTAAGCATCTTTCAAAAGTCTCACCTCTGAACACTGCTTACAATGAGGACCAAGATCAACACAAGCTTTTGGGGGACACACTTTGTATCCATGGCATCAATTCACAGCATTATGGCGTATGTATACAGGTATACACAGTTAGATGGGCATCTGTCACTGTGTATAAAATCTGCCCTACTTTTACATTTTCATTTATTTATGTGTATGCGCATGCACGAGTATGTATGCGTGTGTGCGTGTGTGTGTGTGTATGCGTGTGTGCGTGTGTGTGTGTGTGTGTGTGTGTGTGATGCATGGGAAGTGGTGTGGGTATACACACGCTCCACAGAACACATGTGGAGGTCAGAGGACAACCTGTGGGAGTTGGTTGTCTCCTTCGATCATGTGGGCTTTCTGGATGAACACAGGTCAGACCTGGCAGCAAGCATCTTCACCCAGAGTCATCTGGAATGGTCTCTAATTACTTTAAAAGTGGCAAAGGGTAGCTATGGAGATGTATCAATAGGTACAATGCTTGCCATGCAAGTGTGAGGACCACAGTTCAGATCTCCAGTACCCACAAAAATGATGGGTGGATGTGGAAGCCCACATGTAATCCCAAGCTAGCGGGATCAGTGACGTTCAAGTGAGAAACCCTGCCTCACTGTAGAAAGTGGAGAGTAATCAGGGAAGATGCCTGAGGTAAAATGCTTAAGCACACGCACGCACGTACACACACACACACACACACACACACACACACACACACACACACACATACACAAAGTGCACGCTAAAAGAAAAAAAGAAAAGAAAATAGATGATTTTTGAAAAGGGGGTAAGAGAGGAAAACCAATCAGGATCCCTAGTTCTAGGCTGCACACCAAAAGACTGGTTATCCTTCAAGGCCACCCCAAGTTGGTGGCCAAAACCTCATCTCCCCATCATAGGAGAGCATGTTGTTATCTATACTAACGGAGAAGATGCCATTCATCTGCCTTTCCCAAACGCAGTTTTAAGTGATTAAGATGCAAAATTTTTAAAAGTTCAGAGACGGACCAAAACATGGCAGCATCTCAACCTGTTTGCAGTTTTCCTCCGATGTAGGAGAGCTCAGTGCCCCGGTCCCCACCCTGGCTCTCCTTTGAGTTTGGGGTTATAATTCCTGTCTGATTGTGATCACTTTACACAGACCTATTACTTCATGGTAGGGTTTACGATTCCAGCATTGTGGTGCCAAGGCCTTTCTGGCAGGGTTTGACCTGCATGAAATCAGTTCAGCCTGGAGGGCCCATGCCTCTTAGATAATGTAATACAAGGATGCTGATCCCCAAACTTTCCCTCTGAGGCCACAGCAAAGATGTGTTTTGTCTGAGGTTTAGGAACCAAAGATTCTTGAAGCATTTCTAAGATCCCTGGAGCTGTGAACTCAAAGGGCCTATTCTGGTTTTGCAACCACATTTTACACTCAGAAAATAAATTTTGAAAAAAAAAAGAAATTTTGTAGTTCTTTTTAATTATATAATTCTTTGAAAGTCTCCAACATGAAATAACTAAATCAAACTAAAATCTTCATCGAATTCTAGCCAGAGTTTCTTGTCTATTTTTATTTTGTCTTGTTTTTCACTGATTAACTTCAAAATGTTAGGGCTCCAACTAAGTGCAAAATACTGGGACAAGCATTTGAAGATAAGAAAGAGTTTAACCTTTTGCTGGGCATTGGCGGTACACACCTTTAATCCCAACACCTAGAAGGCAGAGACAGGTGGATTTCTGTAAGTTCGAGGCCAGCCTGGTCTACAGAGTGATTTCCAGGACAGGCTCCAAAGCTATACAGAGAAACCCTATCTCAAAAAAAAAAAAAAAAAAAAAAAAGTTTAACCTTTTAATTTTCATTTTGTGTGCACCTGTGTACATGCATGTGAATGTATGTTCATGGGTGTGTGGTGTGTGTGTGTCTGTGTGTGTGTGTGTGTGTGTGTGTCTGTGTGTGTATCTTGACAGCAAATATGTAGAGGTCAAAGAACAACCTAAAGAGTGTCTGTCTCCTTCCACCATGTGGATGCCTGGGATCAAATCGTGTCAGCAGGCTTGGAAGCAAGTACTTTTACCCACTGTGCCAGTAATTTTTGGTCAATTTGACACAAACTGGAGTTTGGGAAAGAAAAGTTCTCTCATTTGGAGAGAGGACACCTCAACTGGAAAAAATAAAAATGAAAAATAGGATTGGTCTTTTGGCAAATCTGTGTGGCATTTTCTTGATTAATGACTGATATGGGAGTGTCCAGCCCACTGGGGGTGGTGCCACCCCTGGGCATGTGGTCCTGGGAGGCGTAAAAAAGCAAACTGAGCAAGGCACAGAGAGTAAGCCAGTAAACAGCATTTCTCTAGCCCTCTGCCTCAATTTCTGCCTGGAGTTCCTATCCTGACTTCCCTCTGTGACGGAACTGTGACCTGGGACTTGCAAACCAAGCAAATCCTTTTCTTCTTGCTTTGGTCATGGTTTTCATCACAGCATCAGAAAGCAAACTGGAACACCCACTAAGCCACCTCACCAGCCATGTGACACTTCTAAAATATACACACAAGACAGTCATTGAGTGGACCACAGAGTAGGGAGACTTCTGTCGGTCTGCTAAGTAGGTTTTTAAAGTCCACCTTCTGAAACAGTTTATTGCCAAGTAAATGCCACTTTTAAGGGTCTCTGAGCTCCTATTTCATCAGCAGCCAAAGTGGCATTTAAAGTCTAACTTGGAGCAAACTGCTCTCTGTGTGAAAAGGAGTGAGGAGGAAGAGGCCAGAGCCCTGAGCTGGCTTCGGGAAGGCCTCGTTTCCATTTTGGTGGGTCCAGAATGCCTTTGCTGGGCCCTCCTGCCAAGCTCAGGTTCAGTTGGCATAGCCAGAGGTGCATGCTGTTCACTTCTCAAAGAAGAGCACCATACCCCCTCTCCCGGGGAGCCCCCAAGGTAGGGTGAGGGGCTCTACTTACCAGTAATGTAGAAGGCCTTGTGATGGTCCAGGCGGACAGTCTGCAGGCCCCCATACTCTCCAGCAGCTCCACTGTTGGGATGGAACAGTACCTGAGAAAGAGAGGGGAGCCTGTGTCTAAGAAAACCATGCTGGGCCAACGCGAGATGGCACTGCGGGGAAAATGTGTTTGATGGACAAGTCTGCCGGTCTGAGCTCGATCCCAGGAACCCACATCAAAAGCCAGATACAGTGGTGCACATCTGTAATCTCAGCACTCCTGCAAGATGGGCGGCAGAGAGAGAATCAGCTAGAAGGTTGGGGGCCAACTGTGCTTGACTTGAGAAACCTCACCTCAGCAATGTGGAAGGTCAGAACCAAAAGTTGCCCTCTGACCTCCACAGGCAGGGGTGGCACATGTGCCCCTCCCCCAGGCACATATTACATACATGTCTATGTACACATGAAAGGAAATCATGCTAGGTGTCATGGTCCACTCTACCCCCATATCTCCACCCACACCCCTAAATACTCACTGTCAAGCGCAAGCCTGTAGCCGATGCTGGCCAACTCCTGGGAGCCACTGTGAAATTGTCATTTCACTAGGTGCTTAGGACGGATGGTCTTCTAAAAGATCTATCTCACTGGGTAAATTGGATTCACTGGCCCAATGCTGGCTCTGTAATCTGCAGGGTTCCGAGTGTCCGGGCCAGTGCTTTTTAATTTCACAAATTAAAACTTCCAACACAGCCACAGCAGCGTTTTAAATGCCCCCAGGGCCCTTCTCTGAGAGGAGCTGCTTATAGCTGCTTGGGTCATACACCTGGGAGTCCTGACTGCAGTCAGTGCAAGAAGCAACCTGCAAAGATGGCTTACAAACATCCTGGGGCTGGTGAAGAAGCCCTGGCTTCCTCCCTCCTCTGCTTCTGATTGCCTCTCTAACTCTCTTCAGCAAGAGTGGCACAACTTCACCTCCAGACCTCTTATTTCAGTACTGGGGATCGAACCCAGGTCCACACACAGGCTAGGTACACGCTCTATCCCTGAGCTACGGCTCCAACCCAAGCCTAGCCTGAACAGACACCCATGACTCACTCCTACTGTGCTGCTGAGGAACTCTTTCCTGATTCCGTCAGACATGGAAGAATTACCCGGAGGAGCGGAAACACCTAATTCAGAGGTCCCGAGGGAAGGACTTGGTAGGAAATAAAAGGCCAGCATCCTTGGTAGGTTGGTGGGTTTGGGCTGGAGGCATGAGACTGCCCCGGTATGAATCATGTCTGTATATATTGCTGGGAAGGCACTTACATGATTCAAAGTTTCTGTGGGGCTTGGGGAAAAAATAATGAGAAACATCTGTTTGAAAGGGAAACAGCTGCCCCCCTGACCCCTCCCTGGCCAGTTTCAGTACCCTGAGAGGATGCTACCCTGGGCAGGGTTCCCCCACACCTGCTGCTTCCCCACCCCACCCCCGTCAACCCTACAAACACCCCCAGCAAGCTTCCTCCAAAGAAGAAAGGAAGTCATTATTGAAAACCTCACTTCTTCCATCCCCAGAAAGCCACGCCTATCACAGCAGGACATTGCTTTGTTTTCTTGAGAAAGGCTAGGGGGGGTGGGGGGTGGGGGTGCCACCAAAGGACACAAGACATGTTCCATCTTGAGTCTCCCATCTGCGATATGTTCAGACTCACAGTGAAGACACAGTCCAGGTCGGTCTCTTCAAACCATGGTATCCTTTGGGGCTCAACAAGAGAACCTCTTGAAGGAGAGGCTGCCACATTCAAAAGGTGTAAGTGGCACTAAGCAGAAACTTCCAGAACCCACGAAGCAAAACTGGGATGGCCAGTTCTCAGAGATGGGGGTGGATCTTGAGACACTCACATAAGCCACACCGCTTGGAGCCGACAGCTTTTTGTTTATGTCAACATAGGAAGAAGACTGTAAGTTTACACGCAATCATGGCTGAAGTTATTTCCTCGCCAGATGTGTGGTCCACAGTTCAGAGCTAGCTGACTTTCTTCTGCAAACCTGTACAGACTTCTTGGTTCCTTTTCTTTCCTATGTGCTGGTCTGCTTTGTTACATTCCTGTTGTTTTGTTAAGCGTGGGAGTGTCACCCCACACAGTATTATCTCCTGAGGTGTTGAACCACACCCCATCAGGACAGGGTGTACACAGCTTCAAATCTCCAAAAGCAGGAGTGGGGGAGGGGGTGTCAATCATCTGGATGGCACTCTGGGTGACACTAGGGGCCTCCCTAAGAGAAGTGATGGTGTTCATGTTTCCTCAATGTATGGCTCCTGGTGTGCCAAACGTTTATAGCCCACAGCTGGCCCGGATTGGAGTGGACTACGCAGATGCAAAGGTATTGAGGAAACTTTCCCTTCATTGACAATATTTGGACCTGGTCATGAAAGCCACGTGTTGATCACTCATGATGCCTCCACCTCCAGCTTCCATCTTGGAGTCAGGAGAACAAAAAGTGGGTCACAAGGTTCTGAAATGTGTGTCCATCCCCTCTCAGGCTCTCGTCCTTCTTTTTGTGGTTGCTCTCCCTGCCTATAATGGTTAAAAATATGCAGAGCGTGCAGCCAGAGGTCAGCTACTGAGAGTTTGGAATATCACAAACTCCACCTTCCAAGAGGGAATGGAGTAGGTCATGAGATTGTGGCTATGAAAGCCAGCAGTCACTGTTTGCCTTATGCCTCTCATTCCATGGCCCTGGGAGATGTATGAGGATGTGTGTATTTAGGCTGTTTCTCTCTTCAGCTCTGGGCTACCCTTGCAATACAAAGAAGCCAACCACTGAGAGCCATCTGAATAACGTTTTGAGCTTCTAGAAACTGGAATCGTTTTCTAAGCCAACCCATATTTGAATCCTTCTAAATGGAGGTAAAAGGGGCTGGACAGATGGCTCAGTGGTTAAGAACAACTCCTGCTCTTGCAGAGGACCTGGGTTTGGTTCCCAGCACCAATATTGAGGCTCACAAACATCTGTAACTCTACCTGCAGGGGATCTCGTGTCTTCTGATGACTGTGGGTACTGTATACATGCAGTGCACACACACAAACTCAGGCATACACACAATGCATGCAAAATAAGTATTGTTAGAAGTACATACATCATATATATATATGGGTGGATAGATGGGTGGGTGGATGGGTGAATATATACAAAATCATTTGTTCTGATCTTCGGGCCTCTTCTAAAATGATTACAAATCCAAGACAATTTAGTGTCTTTATTTCAACACTTAAGGCTGACCAGAAAAAAATAAAACAAAACAAAAAAATAAAACAAAACAAAAAACTCACATAGCCATTTACTACCCCTAGTCTTAAATTTTAAAGTGGTCTTCCCTAGAGTGTCTATATGAACACTGGAAGAAGCCAGTGCTCTGGGAGACTGGGCACAGCACCCACATGCAGATACCATGAGAAGCTCCCTGTAGGCAGTAGGCTAGCTGTCTCTTGCTAGGCCTTAGGTGTGGTGAGGAAATAAACAAGCCCCCACTTGGGCTAGGTTACCAATACAATGTAGGTCCCTTGATGGTGTCAAGACTTGTGCCTGCTTCTCCTGCTTGGTTCCTTCATCTAACCCAGTGAGCACACACAATCTGTTGCTAAAGGGCTATGAAGCTCTGTCCAGGAACAGACGTAAGCTCATGAGGGAGCTGGCATCCACAGAAGGCCGGATGTCAAGAAGATCGCTTCCTGGTGACCCCAATTACTCTATTGGTAGCCATGGCAATAAACACTCAGGAGCACCTCTCCACAGAAGTTGTGCTGCTAATGCTGCTAGGGTCACACAGCACTTCCGGCTTAAAGTGAAACTGTCTTCCTGTGCCATGCTGTTCCAGAGGGCCAGGCCCGGAGAATCCGCAGCTCTACAGAGAGTGACCCAAGACTCCTTTAAAGGACTACTTGGGTCTCATCTGCCAAGCCCTAAGAACTTCATCAACGAGCGCAGAAGTGTGGTGTGCCACTCAGGGCTGGGGTTCTGGCTGACATGGGAAGGTGCCTCAGCGCCCACAAGCACAACAACCACTCCTGGGTGACCCCCCTCAAAGTCAAAAATAGACCCACAGATGCATGGGTCTCCACCTGGTTTTCTGGGTGCTCGCTGGATCGCACTCAGGGGTCTCCAAGCTCATATGGACTCCTGCTTCCTCTTCCTTTTAGGGAAACACATGTGTTTCGTGGGAAACACATGAAAGTGACAGGGAGAGCCCATCAGGACGGAATTCCCTGGCTGCTATTTGGTGCTCCAGAGCACTCTGAGGAGGGGACAATAAGGAGGATGCTGGAATGTAGAAGCCCAGAGTCATTACCAGGGGCTGCTAATTCAAGAACAGGCAGATAGCTGTGGTGTCACAAACCTGTAATCCCAGCACTCAAGAGGTTGAGGCAGAAGGATTGCAAGTTCTACATCAGACCCTGTTACAAGAGGGTCTTTCAAAAGTAAACAAGTAAATAACAACAAAATAACAGGATGGAAGTGTGTGCTGAGCCCTCCCAGAGCAGGGAGAATGCTGGGAACATAAAGAGCTTGCTGACTTTCATTCGCTCATTCATTTATTCATTCATTCATTTGTTCATCCACCTTGTACACACTGGCTGCTGGCTGGGTACGGATGCTATTAGGTACATGACAACTGAAATCTGAACCCAGCAGATTTGGTTAGGCTCTCCCTTGCCCCTGGAGAGCTTCTTTTCTAGCTGAGCCTACAACTGCACAGGCATCTTGTCCAACAAAAACGTGCTGAGTGCCCAAGTTATGACAGAAAATTGAGTGCATGCAGAAAGAAAGAAAACTAAGCCGTAGAGATAATAAAGACTCACATAATTCTACACTAAGCCAAAATGTTAAATATAAATCTGGATCAGCAAACTGAATTATTGGAGGCAGTTCCTCTCTGAAATTCATCACCAGGAACTTTTGCTCGGGGTCTTTACGAGCCATTGGCATGCGCCTTCTGAGGTAGTTATTTGTACGGAGGTAGCAGGTGTGAGATGTGAGACACAGCCCAGACACAAGCTTCCTCCACTTACCCTGTGCCCCACCTGTGACCTGCCAAAGAGCACCTCAGAGACATCAAGCCCATCAAAGTTCCGGTTTGGAGGCAAGCTGGCTCCTGCCAGGGCTATCGCCGTGGGGAAGATGTCTAGCATGCTGCAAAAAGAACAAGACACAGTTGGCCTCAACTCCTCCAACTCTCCCAGGATTTCCTGTGATCAAACCCCACCCAAAGCAGCCCAGAGCGCAAGCCAGCAGCCTCTCCTACAGCCCATGTCATTTCTCTTTTGTTCTACCTGGATTTCTGCTACAAGAAGCAAGAGGTGGCCAGGTGTTGCCTAGGCTCAAATTCGGCCTTACCACCTAAGATCCAATTCTGCGGTCTCCGATTCTGTAAACTGTGTGGTTTAATAACAATCACTGCCTCACAGAGTGGATGTGTGGGTAAAACATGCAGGGAAGATATACAGAAGGAGCCTGGCACGTGCTGGCTGTTTGTCTTACAAGTACCAACAGGGTCACACCTTTGAACCCAAGGACTAAGAGTTGGCCCTGCCTTATCAGGAGTGGTGGATGGCAGGGTGGCAGGTGTCTGCAAGAAAACACTTCACTTTCCATCGCCTCAGTCTCCCTCTCATGAATATTTAGTCTTTAACTGAAGTATGTGAAATTTTAGTTATGACATGTGAAATATTCCAGTTCTCTGACCTAACTTTAATTCTTTTCTGCCCATTACAAAATAGTGATTTTTATTTTTTATTTTTTTCTTTGTATTGTTTTGGAGCCTGTCCTGGAACTCACTCTGGAGACCAGGCTGGCCTCAAACTCACAGAAATCCACCTGCCTCTGCCTCCCAAGTGCTGGGATTAAAGGCATGCGTCACCACTGCCTGGCAATAGTGAATGTTTTATGAGAAAAAACTTAGAACACACAGAAATATAAAAAAGAAAATAACACATAACTAGTCCACCACTTGAGGGTAATTACTGTTAATATTTTATTATTTGAAGAATAAATTCTGGGGGCTGAAGAAATGGCTCAGTAGTTAAGAATACTGACTGTTCTTCCAGAGGACCCGGGTTCAATTCCCAGCATCCACATGGTTGCTCACAACTGTCTGCAACTCCAGTTCCAAAAGATCTGATGCCCTTATACAGGCACACATGCAGGTAAAACACCAATGTGTGTGAAATAAAAATAGATAAATAAATAAATAAATAAATAAATAAATATTGGAACTCCTGTGTGTACTGTGTGTACATGTGTGCATGCTTGCCCACATGTAATGTGTGGAGATTAGAGGCTAACATCAACTGTCTTCGCCTCCCACTCTACATCTTGTTTTCCGAGACAGGGTCTCTTGATATTTCAGCTTAACTGGCCAGTGAGGCCCCAGGATGCTTTTCCTTCCAGCACTGGGGTTCCAGATGTGCCTTGGTGTCCTGCTTGTACACAAGTGCTGGGAATCCAAACCCATGCCCTCATGCTTGAGTAGCAAGAACTTTACCCACTGAGCCATCTCCCCAACCCACCCACTATTAAGATGTTTGGTGGGTCTTGTTAATGTGATTTTATTCCTTTCTGTTTTGTTTGTTGTTTGTTAAGACAGTGTTTCATGTACCCGGACCGGCCTTGAATCCCTGATCCTCTTGCCTCCACTTTATGAGGGCTAAGATTACAGACTTGTGTCATGTGATTTTTTTTTTTTTTTAAGTCATGTGGAACTTTACCACACTGCCTACTGTGCTCATATCACGAGATGGGGATAGGTCATCAGGAAGAGCAGAGGGGCTGTCCTTTCAACAGAGCAGTTTATAGAAGAGCCAAGGGAGCTGAGAACCAGTGGGACTTGCCAGAGCTGGGGCTGGGCCAACATGAATTCTGTCATGGGTTAGATTTTCCCAGAAAAGAGGTCCTGGTACCCAGAGACTGGGACAGCATCAGAATTCAGGATCACAGGTGGGAAAGCTCTTAGGGCTATGTCTTCCCAATTTATCTGCCCTGAGTTCTAGGGAGTGGCTCTCTGCCTCCCACAGAGGCTACACATGTGTGGCAACTCCAATCTTTCCACATCCTTCCCCTCTCCAGGGCTCTGCCTATGACCTGTGGCAGAATTTCTTGTTGACTGTGGGACAAAGTGTTTCTGTTTGCCGGGAGCATTCACAGTTCACAAAACTTTCGGCTTATCTCTTGAGATAGGCACTCCAGGAGCTGGCATCCCACACTGGTGCACAGTCAAGGTATGCAGAGTCAGCACTCGGCAGAGTACAGAACAGTCTGGAAACCTGTCCAGAGTCCAAGGTTCCTGCCACAAACCAGGAAGCAAAGAGATCTACAGTGTGGTCTAAAAAGACTGAAGTGCTCCCTCTCTCTCTCTCTCTCTCTCTCTCTCTCTCTCTCTCTCTCTCTCTCTCTCTCTCTGTCTCTCTCTCTCCCTCCCTCCTTTTCTACAGAGATCAGTATCAAACCCATAAGCAAGAAAAACAGGATCTACAATGTACAACAGATTGTTTTAATTTGTGTGCATATGAGCACACGTGTGGGGGTTTGCACACCTCTGTGGAGGTGTCTACACATCTGTATGCACACACAGAAGCTGGTAAAAATGTGTTAGTTCTTCTCTGTCACTCTCCATTTCTTTGAGGCAGCATCTCTTCCTGAACCTGGGACTTGTGTGTTCTCTGTGAGTCTGGAAGCCAGCAAGCCCTAGTGATTCTCCTCACTGTGTCTTACCCTGTCCACCTTGGAGCTGAGGTTACAGGCATCCAGCTTGTTATGTGGGTGATAGGATCGAAAGCCCAGTCTTCTTGGTTGTTCAGAAAACGCTCTTGAACAACACACACACACACACACACACACACACACACACACACACACTCACACACACACAAATGTTAGATTTTGAAATGGACTGGGGAGATAGCTCAGCTATGAAAGTGCTTGCCTTGCAAGCATGAAAACCTGTGTTTGGTTCCCAGATCCCATGTTACAAAAATCTGGGCAGCAGAATCCTCCCAGCTCTGGGGAGATGGAGAGGAGTAAATCCTTGGGCCTCACTGGCCAGTCAGCCTAGCCTAATGAGTTTTAGGCCAGTGCTTGAGCAACAGCTGAGGTTGTCCTCTGGCCTCCCTACACATGTGCGAGCACTCACACACACACACACACATACTTACACACACATACACTCACACAGACTCACACATATACAGTCACACACACATGCATTCACACATGCATACACTCACACTCACACTCATACATACATACTCATACACACATACACACTCATACACAGACATGCTTTCACACATACTCACATACATACACTTAAACATACACACACACATACAATCTCAAAATACTCTCACACATACATACACTCACAAACATACACACTCACACACAAATTTGAAGAAGACTGCAGGCTTTCTTTTTCCATCTTAAGAGACATCAGCATCACAGACAGGCCAAACTAGGAAAACAGACCCTGCATTACACTTTCAGAATGAATTACATCCTTTCTTTTTCCTGTCTTTTTTTCTCCTCTGAATCCTGAGGTTTGGCGTCCTGACTACACAGCACTAACTTAAATCTAATGCTCAGGGAATCCCGGTGTGACACAGTCTGGCATGCCTTTCAGAGGAGTCTAGTCTCCCAGAACTCAACAAGAACTTTCACCCACAAAGAAAACTTCTTCGACAGGTCTGGCGACTCACACTGCTCAAGGTAGGGCAGTCCAGTGTGGGCATGCCCAGGCAGTCAGCAAGTCACTCCTCAGAGAACGGCAGAAGCCCAGCCCCTGAGTTTAGCCCTGGGAGAGGCAAATGCTCCCTGGAACACACCAACCAAAGGCTGGGCCTTCCTGCATAGGAACCTGGAGGGCAGATCTGTCTTATGGAGACTACTGGTGACCCTCCAAACCTCAGTTTTAACCCAAGAAACAGGTCCTGGAAGTCTTTGAAACCTTGAAGAAATAGGGCAAACGAGTAAGCAAAGCTCCAAACCTGCAGAACCCAACACTGCACTTTGTGATGCTGGGCCATCTGTCAGAGCTGCATTCTGACCCAGGGGGGCACTTTTGCTTTCACAGGTTTCTTCCTCTATTATAAAAGAGGGGCCAGAAAGATGGCACAGCTCTAGCCAAGGACCTAAGTTTCCTAGCACCCACATCAGGCAGCCCACAACTTCCTGTAACGTCAGCCTCTGTGAGCACCTACACTCACATGTACATTTCCCTACACACATACGGAGAATTTGAAAACATCTTAAAAACAGAAGGAAATTACATTTTACAACTATTGACATAAAGACAAATATATCATAGACCAGTTTATTCCACTTTAAAGTATTTTTCTTTTCCTTTCTTCTTTGTTCTCTCTCTCTCTCTCTCTCTCTCTCTCTCTCTGTGTGTGTGTGTGTGTGTGTGTGTGTGTGTGTGTGTGTGTGGGGATGTGGTACGCATTCATTTATGTGCAGGCACACATTCAGCACATCACTAGAAGGCAGAAGAGGATTCCTTTTCTATCGCTCGCCACTGTGTTCGCTAGAGACAGGGCCTTTCACTGAATATGGAGGTAGGCTGGCAGCTGACAAGCCTCAATGATTCTGCTGTCTCCATCCATGCTTTGGGGATACAGGCATGCACTTGGCTTTTTTCAGGATTTGTATTGGGTTCTGGGGATTCAAACTTGGGTCCTGTGCTGTACAAGTATTCCTACCCACTGAGAAATCTCCCTAGCCCTAAGCGTTTTCTGTTTTTAAAGACAAGACTGTCATGTGTCCAAGGCTGACCTCTAGAGTGCTCATATTACAGGCATGTGCTAACAAACTCTGCCTATGCAGTGTTGGGATCAAACCCTGGGCTCTGTGTAAGCCAGGCAAACATTCCACCAACCGAGCGACACCCTAGACCCCTGACGTGAACACTTTATGGGCTCTGGCACTGTGCCTCATGGGCTTCTCCCCCCAAAGCACCACTTCCAGAGGTCATCTGATAGTGAGAGAGGAAGGCAGTGCCCACTCATGAAAGGAGAGGGCTGAGACAGGGGGCTTGCATGGTGAACAAAAGGCTAGCGTGGGAGCAGGCAGGGGACACCTTCCACGTTCTTCTATCTTTAAGAGATTATTTTCTTTCTCTTGTTTCTCTGAAGTTTGTT